TTAAGTCTTGTCTTGCACTCCCTTCCCCCCATTGTTGTAAGCTGCCCTGAGTCCCCTCAGGGAAAAGGGCAGCATATAAATGTTCAATAAAATCCTAAAAATCCTAAATCCTAAAGTATTATCTGATTTTGACTATGACTGTTATTTGTTGTCACTTTAATCACTGCACCAAACTGACTCTATAGAGTAACAAATGGTAACTTACTGAAATTAAATTGCATTCATTAAATTAAATTAATGAAATTTGTTAATGTGAAAAGTTGTGACTAGATTAATTTTGGGCTTTCATAAACTAATATAGTTCTCCTCCTGTCTTGTCTCTAAGGTGCATTAACATTCCTGATGTTGAGAACTGAATTGCATTTTGAAGGGTAAAGTTTGTCTTTTAAGAAGTGGTTGCTCTGTGTTTGGGGCTGGGAGGGTCAGTTGGACATGAGGTGGTAAACAAGTAGATGACTCCACCTGAAATGAGAATGTGCTCTGTGCTTGTCTTTATATTCTAGTGTGAGGATGCTCTGGAATATAGATACTCTTTGGGAATTTTGAGGATTTTTCTGTGTCAGCAGAAGTCATTGGGTGCAAAACCAATGGTAGTGGAAATGTCAGATAGGTGGTCTCAAGAGGTAGGTGATTGTAATTAGTGAGAGGGAAATATATTTGGTTAATGGCATATGGTTGGGAAATATTTGAAGTTATTGAGGAAAGTCATGTGAGTCATATGAGCGGAGATGTCAGAAGAAGCATGGGAGAAGATATAGGCTGTCCATTTCAGCAGAAGGGAGCCTGGCAGTCCCAATTTTGTAATCATGTGTGATGACTCCTCCAGATGTCAGTTCAGAGGAGAGTGAACCTGTTCCAGGCACTTCAGGAGGGGTGTGGGTCAATGACTCCAAGCACTGCCTGAGAGTGATTTGGCTGAAGCACAGCTGCATCAGGACAGTCCTGAAGTTTCAAGTGGGGAAAACATGCAGCTGCAGCTGGTTAGTGGTGGTGAGGAATTGCCTTCTGCATCTAATCCATGTCGAGCAAAGAAAAGACAAAAGCAGTGAAAGTCAGCCCAATTACTCATGAGGAAGCAGCCTTCTCAGTCTTGATGGGCTGCATCAGAAGCTGGTTATTTAGCACAGCAGACAGATAGAGACAATATTGGGAACAACTTGACATCACTCATGCCCATGCCCACTTAGTCACAAACCCGCCAACCAAATCACACCCACAGAACCTGATAGAAAAAAAATGAATTTCTATTCTACCTATTTTCTGCCCAGGCCTGGCCTAATCTGTCAAAGGACTCCTGCTCTCCCTTCACCACATGATGCGTCTATCCCCAACTGGGAGAGGGGGATGAAAATCTCAGCTTTAGTGGACTCGGAGTGCACCTGCTTTTGATCAACCCAACCCTGGTAAGGAAGTTGAGGATTAATGTCAGGAAACTGAAAAGCCCCATAGCTTTTTGCCAACTAGATGGGTCAATAGCAAGGGGGGAGCCAGCTTCATTTGCCACTGAGCCTCTGCAGATAGGCATCGGAAACCAGGAGGAAATGCTTACATTTATAGTGGCGCCTGGCATGGAATAGCCACTAGTTCTGGGTCTTGCATGGCTGAAAAAATGGAACCCCAAAATAAATTGAAAGCAAGGCAACATAAGAGTGCAGATGCACGTGACTTTTGCTGAGAATCCAGACAGTGAAACTG